TTATATTTCAAAAACAACGACTGTTTTTCTTTCAATTCTCAAGTGTTCATCTCTTGTTAAAACTCTTAATTGTCTTAATTATTTCTTCTGAAAAACTATTTTAAAATTGAGCATACGGTGAACTTTTTCAAAGTGAAAAAGATTTATTACGTTAATTGTTATACAAAGTGTTATATTTAAACATGTAAAAGTGTCACACATTATATAAGTAACACTGACCACACTCTCATTTTTAACCGCAATAATAACGAATATGAATATCGCGCATTTGTCGCGCATAAGATTTTCCAGTTTCTCTTCCCATCTTCCCCAAAGAGATCGTATCTAGTCATACTATATACATATGTATGTCGTCGAGGTAGTGGAAGAGATCGCTGATTTCCTCATAACACAGCACTATAAGCGCAATGAGTTATGCATATAAATTAAAAAGGAAGCACGGTAAATATATTTCAACCGAATTTATTAACGTATACTTCTGTACTTTTCGTTTCTCACCAAGTGCTTAGGGTCGTATACTGTTTAAGCGCGGCTTACACGCGAGACACGCTAATTAACGTAACGGTTTGTTGATTCAAGAACCCCTTCGCGGCCTTAAGAGACTGCATGGTACACGTACGATGCACATGCACTAACTCGGTACGACGTGATATCTCAATTTTCCATATACTATTACGAGATCTTGATAGAGCAGGTGCAACAGCGATTTTTCTTGGTCTTCTTACAATTAGTAATCTTATTTTAATCACTCGTCTCCGCCAATTCTCGCTGCCGAGAATTAATTATTAATATGAATTAGATAGCTTGCATTACAACGTGCTAATTGATTATATTTACTTTTCTTTAATTAACTAAATTTCTTTTACGCAAAGGAATTTACGAAATAAAATATAATAATTGCCAAAACGATTTTATCCATCATTAGTTGTTTGTTCGACCAAACTCGATTAAGTATCATGGATTCAGTTAGTTTTATTTACATTTTATTTACATTTTATTCTTCCAATCGCGATACAATCAAATGTGATCTCTAACGTTGTGTTCTGTTGTAATTGCCAGCGCCAATTGCCAATTTTGTCCGCTCTCGTAAAAAGTTATGTGTTCTGCACAATGCCTTTAATTTACGCCTAGCAACTCGCTTTTATCGCTATACTATCGAAATTGTTTTCTGTTTCGCAAATGCTTATTTTTGAAAAAAACATTTTATATTTTTTTTCAAATTATATGTTTTGCATCACATAGCAGATATGTAATGTTTCTGGTAAGTTGCGTAAGTTTTATATTTCTATTGTTGCTGTTGGTTTCGATTTTACCTACATTTTCAATTAATATTTTTATTTTTATATGTTTTGTTCGTCAAAAAATAAAAGTATAAAATATTGTTAGTTATGTAATGTACGTGCGCTGGAGTCGGAATTTGGCGATACATTCATACATATATAAGTGCGTGCATGAATTTGTGCGAATGTACGTAAGCGCATTTTGTGTGTGTATGTGTGAGTGTATGTGTGAGTGTGTGTGTGTGTGTGTGCGTGCGTGCGTGCGTGCGCGCGCGCGCGCGCGCGCGTGTGTGTGTGTATAAGCTTACGCATTATTGTTATGTTTGTATATCCTCAGAATTTTACGGAGATGTTCTCACAATCAATGTAATCGACGAATGCATGGCCTTATTGTCGATGCGTCAGATGAAATTGTTTCCATACATGATCGACGCCTTCGCTCCATCGAATTCTTCGATATAGAACACAAACAAAAATATTTAGCCAATAAAAGCGGCGCGTATTTAAGCAGAATACGTCGAGCAGCTACTGCGAGAAAGGAACGAGTGTGGGATCACGGTGTGATTCCCTATGAGATCGATGGCAATTTTTCCGGCGCACACAAAGCCTTATTCAAGCAGGCGATGAGACACTGGGAAAACTTCACTTGCGTGAAATTTGTAGAGAGAGTGCCTAGAGAGCATCCTAATTATATTTTGTTTACGGAAAGACCTTGCGGGTGAGTCGCGCATAATAGCCGCTACTACATCTGTTCTTATATATATATATATATATATGTACATATATCACGTGATTTGTACAATTTGTTGTCCAATTACATAGGCCCACAAAAAAGTACCCTGTATTGGGGTGGAGCAAAAAAACGACCCATTTTTTTCTCATTTTTGATTCATTTTTTTCGCTCAAGATTGAAAATTTGCTTTGGATGATCTTATTTTTATGTCAGATTCATATTCAGCGATTCAAAGTACATAAAAATAGCTGGATTTTTACTCCAACACAGGATACTTTTTTGTACTTGTATTATTTTGTATCATGAACAACTCTATTTTCAAATGATTATTATTATTTTAGAAGTGATATATCATTTTACATTATTTCTCCTTTTCTCGTAAAATAATTACATAGCAATGTAATATCTTGTATATACAAGATATCTCTAATAAAAAATATCAATCTTTATACGATTTTACATTATTATTTCAAAAGGAGAAAAAATAAAAAATTGTGTCCGGGACAAGTGTATGTTCAACGACAAAATAAATTTTTTGACAGATGTTGTTCTTTCGTTGGAAAGAGAGGTAACGGACCGCAGGCTATTAGCATTGGAAAAAACTGCGATAAGTTTGGTATAGTTGTACATGAGTTGGGTCACGTTGTTGGATTTTGGCATGAACATACTCGACCGGACCGTGATCGTCATGTACAAATCATCCGCGATAATATTATGAGTGGTAAGTGATTTTTTATTTATTCCGAAATTATTGTGATTACAAGATGCGCGCGCGCGCGCGCGCGCGTGTGTTTTGTGTGTGTGTGTGTGTGTGCGTGTTTTGTGTGTGCGTGGGTGAGATTATACGATCGCGCTTTGCAAAAAAAAAGTACATTATCAAAGTAGAATAGAAATAATGACGAGATCTCAGAGAAGATATTACAAAAATGGTTTCTATCTTTTTAAGTCATTTTCTAAATTTTACTGGCCAAGTTATCTGGAATGAGTTTGTATAAATTTTTGAACAGATTTCTTTTATTAACAAAGTTATAATTGTAATTAGACCATCGATATAATCATCACTTATTACTTATTTATTCATCATATATCTTTTCAAATCATTTTCAAAATTGATCTTGATTAATCTTTTCGTTACAATAGATCTGATATGGAGATTTGTCAAATATTCAATTGCCACATATTGTAGAGTCCGATGTGAATTTTATTTATATTATAGTTGGCAAAATTTTACTAAACATTGTGTAACTTACGCTGTATAATTAAATAAATATCGTAAAATATATAATATATTATTGACAAAATGCTATATAATAGGCAAAAGGACCATTTGAATGATAAGAAAATATATCTCATTATTCAAAATTATTGCATTGTTTAAACGTATGTAGAAGCTTCAAAAAATTGTCGGAAATGTGATTATGCTCTAATTGTCTACATTCTGATTAGCGCTTTTAAAGTGCTCTTGTTTCAGAGCTTAAGAGAACGCTAATATAGTTTTTTACTGTCTTTATCATCTGAAATTATCCAATTAAAAATATGATCGTGATATTTCTTTTAAGCCGGAGAGACAGCTGATATTTAATATGAAATGTATTTTGCGCGAATTTGTCTCGCCAAAATATATTTCATTTTTAATTAATGGTATATAAAAAGTACTTCCATCACTGATCTCTGCAATTATTAACAATATACATTGGTCTTAATTTTGAAAAATCAATATGTTTTCTAATATCAGGCATTTACATTTAGTATACACATTTATTATCGTTTCGAAAATATTTGTTCGTTACATTAAATGCGAGTATCTTTATTGATATATGAGATACAAAATATTATATATTTGGTATAATAGAAGAAGTATAATAGAAGAAGTTTGGAATATTATTAGAAGAATGCATCGAAAATTATTAGAAGATGCATCGACACAGAACACATGTTTTATATTTCTTGCGTAAAATAATTTATCTGATATAAGTCTACACACGCGCGCGCGCATGCATACACACACACACACACACACACACACACACACACACACACACACACACACACACACACACACACACACACACACACACA